TGAAGTTCAAATGTCAATGTCATTTAGTTTCGCACAGTGAGAAATTCCAGTGACATGCAATTTTTGTAATGGCAAAATATTTGTAAGAAACTGCCATTGAGTTATAATGTACTAATATTACTTCAATGGAAACTGCAAACAAATTCAAATGTGCATGATATGAACCTCCTCTGTTGCAAATTGTCTATGGTACTTTAAGAATGATACAAGTGACATCTTTGTGGAAAATATCTTGATCTTAATTAACAGAAATGTAGCTCATTTATTAAGTTGAATAAAGCCTAGTTTCTGAAGGCCGTATCTTTTCATTTGTAACAATTTATTCAACTTAAATTGTGACANGATAGTTTATCTTCATAGATATTAAAGTTTAGTAGTTATTCTTAGGGTTAAAATAAACTTTTTCATAGAACTTTGAACCTATGTGATAAAGATTATAATGTATTTTTAATAGGTACAAAATACCTACATTGATTAAATTAACTGACTGATAATATTTGTAAATGTGTATAATATTTCACGTTTTGTTTGTTTCAGTCGTGCATTAGTTCAGAGATGTGGCCATAAGCTGCCTCCGATCAAGAATCTCATCACCCTCGGAGGCCAGCATCAAGGGGTTTACGGGCTTCCCCACTGCGGAGCCATTCAGCACAGATCCTGCGACTATGTCAGGAAACTGCTCAACTACGCTGCCTATTATAGGTAAGTTAATGGGCGCATCCAATGGGTGCTTTTGGCGGAAAAAAAGGGCTTGGAAGCACTATAAGCGAAATGGCGACCGCTTAGCGGTAAGCGCTTAGCGCTGTCACTAAAAAAATAAATGAAACACGTTACTATTGAAGTTAGCAAACATGTCCTTGCCGAAAACTTAAATGTGCTTTTTTCAAGTGATCATTAACACTGAGATATTATTTCTATTGTCACAAAAAGTGACAATTAAACGACATAATACTGATAATAAGACAGTGTTATGACTTCCTCAAGCTGGTAGAATAAGCTTACAAAAGATCACACTAGTTGGATTATAGCTTACATCATTTAGGAAACCGCGTTACGTGTTACGAAACATGGAGCATTCCACGCGAAGCGGACAGGTAAAAAAAGTCGATGTTTCCGATTTCAGTAATATTTGAGTATGTTCTACCTATACATATTATTGATACGTGTACCAAATATTTTTGTAATATAATGACTAGTTTAAGAGTTATGGGTCTTCGAAGTTTTCGGCAACCGGTTGGCATGCAGTACTTCAAAGCCGATTATGGAGTCATAAAATTATATATTAAAATAATTAAACCACGGGATTTATTACTTCATTTACCGTGCTTTTTAACTGTATTTTTGGAAACGAAAAAAAATATATTTTTTCCTCAAAAAAATGCAAATTAATTTTTTTTCCTTCATTTTCACAAAGTTCGACCCTTTCGATTTTTTTAATTTTTTTTATTTAAATAGCTAATATTGTGTAGAACATTCATGCCAACTTTCAAAGTGGGCGTGGAAGTGGATTCGGAGCTAGACTGAAAATACTGCCGAAGGGTGGCGTCCAGCGCCGCGCCGTCGCGCTGCCGCGCCTGAAGCCCGCCGCCTGTGCGCGTTTAGTGAAACTGACAAGCAAATAAAATCACTTTTGACGGAATGTTTTTTAGATTTTTAATAACACCAATACATTTTTAGTACCTATTAAATACTAAAAAATACGTTATGGCCAGGCTTGTTCTTACTCGGACACTGAAAGGATCGCTCCGAACTCCGAAAATCGGTCAAATGAACTAGTTCGGTCTTCTAGTACTATTAACTAGCACATTTTAGTACACTGATTCTATTAGGTAGATCGAACGAAAAAAGTCTTTATTCATATGCATTTATGGTCCAATATCGAAAAATACTCGCTACACACTCACAGAGCCGAATCCATCTCGCTCGCGCGCGGTTGTCACCAATTTCACGTCTCGTTCACACCTATTCATTAGTGATCGGCTGTACTAAAGTGAACTAAAAGACCGATTTGAACGACCAAGACGGAATAGTTCGTTCTCGTTCACTTAATTAAAGGAATTGCTTCCTATTAGTACATAGTACATGTACTACACAAGCCTAGTTATGGCGTATCCGCACATGCCGGGCGGCACGGCCGGTTCGGTTCGGTTCTGGGTATTAGTCCTGACCTAAATTAACTGGTGGATCTATTAATCCGGTCCACAATATCTTCTAATTACCAATAATTTACGACCTTTCAAAAGACTAGATAGAATGAAAGGTCTAGTATTCATTATATCTAAAAAATATTATGAGCCACTTAATTTCATAGGAATAGGATGAAAGCACTGACGACCGTCTGCCTCCCACATAATCGCCTTTTGTAACTCGAAAGGTATAAAAATAACAGCTCATTCTATTTTTGTTAGGAAATATTCACAGTTACGAGTAATGTAATTTATTTTTCACGATATGGAAAAACGCAACTTTATTTACTACTACTACTTTATTTTATAACGTATTTTAGTATTTAATAGGTATTAAAAATGTCTTGGTGTTATTAAAAATCTACAAAACATTCCGTCAAAAGTGATTTTATTTGCTTGTCAGTTTCACTAAACGCGCACAGGCGGCGGGCTTCAGGCGCGGCAGCGCGACGGCGCGGCGCTGGACGCCACCCTTCGGCAGTATTTTCAGTCTAGCTCCGAATCCACTTCCACGCCCACTTTGAAAGTTGGCATGAATGTTCTACACAATATTAGCTATTTAAATAAAAAAAATTAAAAAAATCGAAAGGGTCGAACTTTGTGAAAATCGAGGAAAAAAAATTAATTTGCATTTTTTTTAGGAAAAAATAATTTTTTTTTCGTTTCCAAAAATACAGTTAAAAAGCACGGTAAATGAAGTAATAAATCCCGTGGTTTAATTATTTTAATATATAATTTTATGACTCCATAATCAGCTTTGAAGTACTGCATGCCAACCGGTTGTCGAAAACTTCGAAGACCCATAACTCTTAAACTAGTCATTATATTACAAAAATATTTGGTACACGTATCAATAATATGTATAGGTAGAACATACTCATATATTACTGAAATCGGAAACATCGACTTTTTTTACCTGCCCGCTTCGCATGGAATGCCCCACATGTGACATAAACTAGCAAAACCAGGGCAGGGCAATAACAATAGTAGTTCATTACCTAAACTTCTGTAACTAACTTAAAACCAGTGTTTTGACCAAAATTACCAGAACATTTTAGTCTCTCTACCACTGACTAAAAGTGTCCAATCATAATGTATTTAGTCAAAATGGTTTAACTCACTCAAGACATTGTTCTGAAATTAAGAATAAAAAAGTTAGTGTTCTCTGCCCACCTAATAGATAGATGACCTGACTAACACCGGTACCGTTGGAATGATTGGTTACCCTCCTAAGTTCTGTTTATACTAGACAGTGATAATCATTATCAGTCCATATTTAAATATTTATAACACAAGTATTACAATTTGATAACCTTAGTATCTTTGAACTCTAGAGTTTGAAGTGCTGTATTTAAAAAGGCTGTTTTTTACTTGATTCTTCTGACCATGTAATTACTTACTACTACTTTTTTACTTTACTGCATTTAATGTATAATCTCAATTTCTTGATCTTCCTTGACATATAAATCGAAGTAAATTACGTACAAAATAAATACAGTTATTTGTAAATTGCGTAATGTTTGGTGCTCATAATATTCTGGCAAGCAGTTCGAGATTAGAATAAATACTATAATGCGTATTTAAACTACTTATGCAAATACTCATGTTTACTTACTAAGTATCTACTTAGGCAAGTCTCTTGACCGTAATGAGGATCAGTACTGTTGTGGAAACTTCAATAAAACTAGTATCTACGTAAATCTTTAAAACATAAGAAAGATATATCTTTTTGAATTATCCAAATCGGACCATTACTTACGAAGATATTAAGTAATAAACATAGGCCGTTTTTGCCGCTAAAAGTCAACGTACGCAGGGCCGCGTGACGTCACTATATCCGAATCGAGCGCAGCCGGCGTACTATTGGGATGGAATATATTTTTTTCCAGCTAAACTATCAGTTTTAGAAAAAAACTTTTAATAACATTTATTCATCAAAATAAGTATGTAATACCCAGCTTCCGGCGTCATACCCAGCTTATGCTTATGGGCTGGGGGGAGAGGCTAGATTTCCAGGAGGGAGCAGCTGTCCTTTCCTGCAGCAGCTGGCCCGCCCATGGGAACGGCGAATAGATAGATAGGTACGTAGGTTTTTTAACTCAGAAAAACTAAATAAAAGGTAGGTATTGCGTGTACATCGAAATGATCTTCATAGCAATGTCTTGTAGCCTAGGCAGAGTGTATCTGCCTCAGCTATACCTTATTGTTAGAAGTAAATAAANTTAATTAACCTTGCGTTTCGACATAAAGGATGATTGCGTAGTTGCTGATGTGAGCTAAATACCTTTAAACGATCTTGATGACTTGACAACAGACATACAATATTGTCAGTAACTAGAACAGCATTTTATGTGTACGCAGGCAGTTTATTTACATTTATCTATAGATAGGATCGGAAGCTAAGAATGGATTTGATGAGAGTGCTGAATTAAGGGGGAAAGCGGGGCTTAAAGTTTGTTTATAAATCCATCACTCCAAGATAACTTACACTGGTATTTCGGCTTATAAAAAGGTTATAAAAAATGTATTTTTAGAAATGCCCCATTATGCTCGATCGAAATAGGGGATTAAAGTTTAAAAAGTAAGGAAGTATCATAATTTTGTCCATTTTCATGGAATGGTAAGAAGCACTTGCTCATATAAAATATATCGTAGACTCTTTGCTCTCTACTTACACACAATCCCTGCATAAGTAACTAACTGTAGTAGGTACGTTTTTCCTTGCCAAAGCACAGAATAAGTAATAGTACAGGGCCAAAGTTCCTGCGTGTCTTTATAAAGACTGAGGTTACGAGAAAAATATTTTTTCAGATACCTGTATACGCCTTCGACAAGGCGTTTCAGGTGAACAACAACATAATGCACGTGTTCCTTGGTCACAACCCTTGGAGGTGTGACTGCCACTTTATCCCGCGCTTCCAAGGGCTCCTATTGAAGTACAGAAGGGTGATACGAGACTTGCCCGACATCAGGTGCTCGAAATCAGATGACAAAACGACATCTTTCGTACAGGTAAATTGTATTGCTTATTCATAATTTATTTGAAATGCCAGGTAGGAAAATATGAATCCCATTGAGTTGGTATTTCGTTGTAACTACCTCTTATTACATTCACTATTCCCACTTTCATTTTCACAAAATAGTTATTTTACCCGAATTTCGTATAGAATCAGTGCTCCGATTGCGCTAATTTTTAACGTCTCCAATACATTTGCGCTTCTTCACCAGTTGTGCTCCGTTTTTCATTCCAGCTGAGGTGCAAATTCGGTATCGCGGTAAAGTTCACGCGCAAACAAAGACAAAATAACGGATTTAATCACTTTCCAATAAAAGTAGTAGAACACCTTATTTTTTTACTAAAAAACAGCATAATTAAATGTTCGTGAAGGCGTTTGACTTGAGTTTGAGAAAAAGTAGCTTTCTTTCAGCTATTACACAAAGAAGCAAGGGTTTTGTTTTCGTTTGAACTAGCTGTCAAAGCGACACCGCGATACGAATTTGTGATTTTCATTCGTCGTCTAGCCGCGTTGTTGTTGAAAATATTTAGCGCAATCGAGGCCCTGGATGAAATTTTATCATTCTGTTTTATCAACTTCAAATGAACTGACATCTATGTACAAATAGTAATGTTGGTCTTAATCCTAATTCCTAAAATAAAGATTAAACAAATTATTAAGTTTACGAAAATGTACGAGAACTGTGTTCAAGCTAAGTACTACTCGTAGTTTCTACGATTCTGCCGTTTGTTCAATGTTCGATAAATTTCTCGAAGATCTCTTTGATGTGGTATTTACTAACCGTAAAATCGGTTCAAACGCAATCATATAAATGTTGTAATTAAAAGCTTACGACTTCCCGCCACCTCTGGTTTGATTTGCTTTTGAAATACCTATTCTATAGGTATAGACATACGACCTCTATTGAAGTATATTTAATGAAAATAATGATTTTAAACCTAAAAACTAGGTAAAAAAAAATTCATACGACCTGACGACCACATTTTTAGCTATTCGCGGCAAGGTTATACCTACAGTGAACTCTAGCCATTTTCCTTTCCGAGAATGACATTTTCTTTTTCTCGAAAAAATATAAGCAGTCTTTGTTTTGTTCGTGTACGATCCTTCGTAAATAATGGGCTTCAGCTTCAACGGTTACGAACTTTGAAGATAACCGCTCCGTATTTCTTTACTACTCTATTAATTTACTTTAATATCTTCAAACATTTTCAATATAAAATTATACGATATCTTCAAAGATCGAAGACCCGTGACTATCACCAAAGATTTGAAAGTGGGACCCTTCGTAAATCAATCAAGGCAACCATCTAAGCGTGTATTACACTCTATCATTCTTGAAAGACTTTAATTAATGGAAACAATAGCGGACTATATTGGTGTTAATTACGGAAATCCAATATTGAAATTACTTTAAATTCTTAGTACTAAAACAAAAGCTATTTCAAAAAGACTATTTAAAAATTAAACAACACACTTGTGTTGTTACTACTAAGGTAGTACCCGAATTAGATCACTGAAATCTCTGATTAAAGCGTCTTAAATACTTAATAAGCGAACACGAGGACGGGTGAAGGATCAGGCTACTTGTTGACGCAAAAACCAGCAATCAGCCTTTACCATTAAACTTATACATATAAAACAAATTTTTCGTTCTTTCGATCGTAGTATTGTATGGGACAGGAAATAGCGCGTGCTATTCAACCTTTCTTCAGCACCTTTCAATGGCACACTGAAGACTACGTCGCGAGCAAATCCGCAGGCAAAAGCAGGTTGTCTAATATGCCGCAGGGTGCTTTAATTTCTATTGTCTCTGATTAAAGTAGGCGATATAATTTGTTACAGCAAAATACATAATTACGAAGTTTCGACACGAAGTACATATTCACGATAACTTTTTTATTTTGTGAAAAACCGCGGAGCTGCGGGCAAAAGCCTTTTGTTACACTGTATTCACATTTTGCCCGCGGCCCTGGTACCTATTCAGAATACCAGGGACAATGTTATGTTGCCGATCATATTACAGTGGCTCTGAAAGCGTGCTATTTAATATTAAAAACTCCCTAGTTTTATTGGCTTTGTTTTTCTCACTAAAGTAGAACTCTTTTAAGACAAATTAAAAAAGTTAAGTTAGAAGTAACGGGTCTATTTCTGAGGATCACTTAGATCGCTTTTGTTTAAAAGTCCTCCTTCATAAGTAATCTTGCTGTAACCAACTGAATTTTGAAATATAATTATTTACCTATAACTTAGTATTATTTAATTTTCTTAAATCATAGCTTTAATTTGGTATTACAGCTTTTCGCGAAATTAAGTAAGTAAATGGTGGAATTTCGAAAAGCTATGAATAGGCAAGGGCAATCTTTTATAAAAGTTTACATAGCTTTCTTGATTAAAAATTAACGATAACATTGTTTTATTTCAGATCAGCACGATGCCTTTGGGAAACGTTTGCAATAGCGAGATGGAGATGCCCATTAGCACCATCAACGTCGTCAATTTGGTGCTTCTAGCTTTAATCATGATGGTGTTAGGGAAGTTCTTATACGACTGGCGAAACTTTAAAGCTACGGGAAAGCTACCGTGGCTGTCTTCGATACTACCGTGAATTAAATTATCGTTGATCTGGATGAGAATATTTTATTTACTTACACCTTATTTAAAGTAATGTATACCTATGCTATAGTTTAGGTAACCCTTAAAATAAACCCTTGAAGAAATTGTAAGGCAACAGTAATTTTACTTTGCTTTGGAAGCATTTGCGGTAATGATTTTAAAGGTCTCTAGTCCTATCACATCTGGCACATAGGTAGGTATGTGCCGTGCCGTTGTTGGCACTTAGGTACCTATGTGACATACCTATTATGTAGGTACATAATAATACGTGGTTGGGTTGGGACCTACTTATTATTAAAATTATCATCAGTATGTAACTATCATTAGTGTCATTCACGGATTAGCAAGCTGAAGTGGCAATGGGCAGGGCACATAGTACGCAGAACTGACGGCCGATGGGGCAGCAAGGTTCTGGAATGGAGGCCGCGTACCGGAAAACGCAGCGTGGGACGTCCACCTACAAGGTGGACCGACGACATCGTAAAGGTAGCAGGGAAGCGCTGGACGCAGGCCGCTACCAATCGATCAACGTGGAAAGCATTAGGGAAAGCCTATGTTCAGCAGTGGACGTCCTATGGCTGAAATGATGATGATGATGATGATGATTAGTGTCATTAATAGTGTTTACTTAAGTTGTTCCCAGGTTCGAATCCTGGCTAGTTTAATTTTTAATTCTCAAAGTCTGCCCTGAGTCTCTTGAAAATCTTGCATTACAGCACTATTCTGTGACAATGAGGGTTTTCGCGAATGAAAGATCCGCTAGAAGGCGGGACGTGGATGCAGATGTGGGATCTGACTGCTGCGTGATTGGTGGATTTTGACATATCTGTCAATGTCATGTCAAAAATAACCAATCATGCAGCATTTGGACCTCGCGTCTACGTATTGCCATCTGGCGGATTTTTCATTCGCGAAAACCCTCATTGAGTGTAAAAATTTAAACAAAAGCAAATTAATGTTCTTTTCCCCAGTAGTTTTTAGATTCAACAACCGCTTTAACATTGTGATTCGCACATTTAATTCTGAATAGCATTGCAACAAAAATGTAGTGTTTGTTGACAATAAGCCTAAACACGCTTTCAGTAGAACTGAAAACTTTTAAACATATATTTTTACAACAAATGCAAATTTAACTAAACAAAGATAAAAACAAAAAACTTATTGAATGTGTACCTACTTACCTACTCAAAAATAAAAGAGTGTCCGCGAAGCAAAGAGGCGAGGATGCTGGCTAGCAAGGCCTTTGTGCAAGGAAAGAAGGAAAGGAAAGTCAGCATTCATATTTTTGACATTGCTGATTGTAAACAACTTGTGTGCAGACGTCATAATTGGGCATGATATACTAAAAACACATTCGTCGCTCATTTTGAACTTCGGTGGTGAGGAGGAGCCCCTCAGCGTCTGTAACGTAATGGAAGCCTCGGTTCCTCCTGCTTCAATTTTCACAAATCTCACTCCTTCTATTAAGCCCATTGCTATCAAGTCCAGGAGGCACAACGATGAAGACGAAGCCTTTATCAAAGTAGAGGTGAACAAACTACTTGAAGATGGCGTCATAAAGCCAAGTGTGTCTCCCTGGAGAGCACAAGTTCTCGTCGCTGGAGGAGGCAACCACAGAAAGCGACTTGTTATTGATTACTCAAGAACTATCAATATTTTTACCGAACTGGACGCCTATCCCTTGCCAAAAATAAATTCAATAATTTCAAAAGTTTCCAAATTCAACTTTTTTAGTCAAATCGATTTGAAAAGCGCTTATCATCAAGTGCCCATACTGAAAAAAGAACAGAAGTTTACTGCCTTCGAAGCATGTGGAAAACTGTACGAATTTACTCGAATCCCATTTGGCGTTACTAACGGCGTAGCCGCTTTCCAGCGAACACTAGAATTCATCATAGAAAAGGAAAATTTAGTTGGAACCTATGCTTATCTCGATGATGTGACCATCTGTGGCGTGACTAAGGCCGAACACGATAAAAACCTTAATGCCTTTCTACAGGCGGCTGAAAAATATAGACTTACATTGAATAAAGAAAAGTGCACCTTTTGTTCGGAAACCATTAATCTTTTGGGTCACACCATCACCAATCAGACAATCAAACCTGACAAATCAAGAATACAACCTTTACTCGATCTTCCTGAGCCTAAAGATTCAATGTCACTCAAAAGGGTTTTAGGATTATTTGCACATTATAGCCCATGGGTAAGAAACTTTTCTCATAAATTGAGGCCATTGATAGATAGTACCGAATTTCCTCTTTCTAACGAAGCATTATCAAGCTTTAACAATTTAAAGACTGAGCTCGCTAACGCTAGTTTACATGCAATTGATCTTAAAGCTACTTTCACTGTCGAAACGGATGCATCAGAATATGCGATTGGAGCCATTTTATCACAGGACGAACGACCTGTAGCTTACTTTTCTCGTTCATTATCTCCACCTGAGAGACGCCACTCTTCAATAGAAAAGGAGGCGTGTGCCATCGTTGAATCACTTCGCAAGTGGCGCCACTTCCTTTTAGGAAGGCATTTTATTTTAATCACTGACCAGCAGTCAGTAGCATTTATGTTGCAAGCTCACCATTCAAGCAAAATTAAGAATGAAAAGGTAGAGCGTTGGAGACTCGAGCTATCAGCATACAAATATGATGTTATATATAGACCGGGGAAGGAGAATTTGGCCGCTGATGCACTATCTCGCGTTTGTGCTCAGATACACACCAACGTCACAAATAAACTAATTGAGTTGCACAACGCTCTTGGACACCCTGGTATTACTCGTATGACACATTGGATCAGAACTAAAAATTTGCCATACTCTGTCACTGATATAAAAGCGATTACTTCTGCTTGCAGAATTTGTGCTGAAATCAAACCACAATTTCACAAAACTCAAGGAAAGCTTATTAAGGCGATTGCTCCTTTTGAACGATTAAGCATTGATTTCAAAGGCCCATTACCTTCAAAGAGCAAGAATAAATACATCCTCACTATTATCGATGAATTCTCTAGATTTCCATTCGCATATCCTTGTCAAGATTTATCTGCAGACACTGTAATCAGATGCCTTAAAGATATTTTTTTTATGTTCGGCACTCCTCTCTTTGTCCATTCTGATAGAGGCTCTGCTTTTGTGTCAGAACGAGTGCAGCAGTTCTTGCTTTCTTTAAACGTGGCAAGTAGCCGGACTACTCCATATAATCCACAAGGTAATGGACAAGTTGAACGTTTAAACGGGACATTGTGGAGGACAGTACAGCTTTTCCTAAAATCTAAGGGCCTGGAAGTGACGGATTGGGAACAAGTGCTATCCGAATCTTTACATTCTATACGTTCTTTACTTTGCACGGCCACAAATTGCACTCCTCACGAACGTTTGTTTTGCCACCCTCGACGAACAATGAATGGGCAGTCGATACCATCATGGTTATCGTCTTCTGGGACCGCTCTCATGAAAAGGAATGTTCGTGCTTCAAAGTACGACCCCTTAGTGGAAGAGGTCGAACTTTTACAAACAAATCCATCATATTCGTATATAAGATTACAAGATGGTAGAGAGACCACCGTTTCAAACAGACATTTGGCTCCTTTACCGGATGGAGAGGATGATTCCTGTCAAGAAGAGCCATCAGACTTAGATGAAATAGTTCAGGAATCTGAATCTGTTCAGCAGCCTGAACTTGGTCAAGAAACTGGTGTTGCTGAAGAGCCAGAGGCAAACCTGAGCCGGCGTTCCCACAGGGCTCGCAGAAGACCAGGCTATCTAGAAGATTTCGTTTGTGATAATGACTAAAGTGTAGGGGAGAGGGGGGCNTCTTCTAAATCGGTTCAACGATTCTTGAAATAACACCATTTTATAAAATAATTGGTCACATCATCATAACGTGATCAAATTTACGATTTGGCCACGATATAAATGCATATTAGTGTTAAATTTGACTTATTACTTATTAATCATTAAACTTAAATGAGAAAAGTTCAATAAAAATAAAGAAAAGATACCAATTGAAATAATTATAAAGTTATTTGTTTTCACCCGGTGTAAACACCCACGGGTGAAATGAAACGGGTTTTTATTGGGTTTTTACCCTCATGTGGGTTTTTACCCGGGTGAAAACCCATCTCTAATCGCAGGTGGCAATTTTCTAAAAATGCACAAAAACTTAAAAATCTTGAAATCGGTGATATTTTTACCGGGGTCAAAAATTGACGTTAGGGAGATCATGGCGAGGCCTATCGATGGTTACAGGGTTATCCATTGTTTTTGGGACAGCCTGTATATTTATTTGATTAAATTACAGGGTGACAGTGACAGATATCAAAAAAGGCTGACAGTATTTGACATTGACAGCTTGAACAGCTGCGAGGCCAAAGATTGTATAAATCTATCTACATCCACCAGAGCCCCGATTGATTCCCCCCAAACGATTGGTCGTTCAACAGCGTACGTCAGCTGTTTTGACCAATCGTATCGCAGAATCGATGAAGCGCGTCTGGATTGGAGACGTTAAAAATTATCATAATCGGGGCTCTGGTGGATGTAGATAGATTTATACAATCTTTGGCCTCGCAGCTGTTCAAGCTGTCAATGTCAAATACTGTCAGCCTTTTTTGATATCTGTCACTGTCACCGCTGTCAGTCAGTCAGCAGAAATACGCGTACGCCAGCCAGCCTACGAAAGTTTTTGTTAAAATCTTTCCTTCTGTACAAAACAAATAACAATATTATTATGATAAAAAGATTTCATAATTAAATTGAAACAATCTCAACAACACGAGATTTTTGTATGGTATACGTACATTAGTTAAAATGAGTCTAGAGAAAGTGCCGAAAACAATGCGTCAGTGCTACGCTTGAAGATGATAATAATTAATGATGCATGCCCCCATACTTGTAATTTATGTTGTTTAGTTCTGAATGGCTATTCCTTTCGTTATAAAATGTGGTACGCCGCTTTGGTAAGGTTTATAAGACGGAGACTTGTCCTGGGCATTATATTCGCCTCTTCACTCACTTATTGTATCGTGAGCTTCCTTCGAGAGGTTAGTAATAGCAAAATAAAAAACCTAATTTACTTTAAAGAAAGAAAAAATATTTATTTGGTAATTTACTTTATAAACCCTTACAATTTTTTAGAACACGCCGGTAATGTCTTTGATATTTTTAGGGCAGCAGCAGGAATATGATGTACCAAGAGACTATGATCGAACGAAAGCCCTTTGTTTGGCGAGCCCTGCAGGAACACAAGGACTCAAATGACAGTATCATTTGTAGGAACTCAGTGCAAGGCAGATCATTATTGGTTGATGATAGAGGTAATTCTGGACAACTCTTATTGCGTACCTCATTGGTAGAGACATTTTGATTTGTACAAGTTTTTCAATAGTTTGTTAATAGTAGACTAATTTGTTATTTCAGGGTATGTATGTCACAGAAATGATGTGATGAGGAATGGGTGTTGTGATCACTATGCAGATTCTTCACAGAGATACAGCTGTGATACTTGCACAGACACAAATTGCTGTATTATTTATGAATACTGCGTGTCTTGCTGTTTGGATCCAAAAAAGGTATGACATATACAAAGAGCAAAGTTTAATGGATTATTAATTATACCTAGAAACATCAATAATATTTAAATATGTTTTCAGAGAGACCTATTGGAGGTGGTGTTATCAAAACTCTCCGCAGAAGAGAGTGTATTGTTCCGAACTTTGAGCGATGATTATGAATTGTGCCTTACAAAATGCCGCACCAGTTCTCATAGTGTTCTACATGAAAATTCCTACAAGGACCCAACACATAAACATTGCTTTGGCCAAGAACTGCCTAGAAGTAGAAGTCCTGACTAGCTAAGGGTAAAAACTAAAATTATAGGTATACCCAATTTTATACTTAGTCTTATAGCATGAAATTTACTCAATCAAGAGACACCAACACGCTGTTACTGTTTAGTGAATTAATTAGATAATAATTTATTATAAATAAGGCCAAAGAATAAGTGTCTTAATAACAAAAAACTGGACAAGATATTAGTGACATCACAGCCTAATTTTACATAGAACTAGTTGCCTTATTTACATTAAAAAATATATTAATGTCATGTTATACAATAAACAAGATATCCTGCCATTTTTGGCTCTTGCTGAGTTGTTATAACCCTCAGAGTTTGTTCACAATTCTGGGTAGACATGTGAGTATGTATTTGTTACTAATCCACATTTAAACATTAGCCACTGAATTTGTTCGATGCTGACTTTTCATCTATAATTTTATGACTTGTATTAAACAAAAGTATGAAATGAATGAATAGTGTTACTATTTGAATTAATCAGCATCTAGCAATGTATAATGATCATTTTGTCCTATAGACAAGCTATGCGTGTCTTGATCTTTTTTGCCCACCGTCTTATACATAGTATAAGCGTAGGTGGGATGCATATCAGTTTTACAGTTCTGGTGGCGCAATACAAACTAGGTAAGCCAATGATAAGCAAGGGCAACTACAAAGAAATAATGTCATCTCATCTCCAACACTTATCTTTGGAATGTGGACGAATATTACCAAATAATAATATGTGCTATTAAATACATACCACAAAATTGATGGAATGTGTGAACGAATTCTGAGTTAAATTGGAAAATATAAATCAATATAAACAGCATTATTAACTGTAGAAAACAAGATTTGAAGTCAAAGTAAATAATTTTTGTGACCTTCAAATATAGTTTTTTTATACACAGATAGTTTTAGATTACAAGTTTTGCATATTTTTAGCAAGAAAAAAAGGCTTAGAATTCAAGTTTATCAGCTATTTTTTCCTTATGAAGTTTTTTAGCAACTTGTGCACATTTTAGGGTACCTATGTAACATTATAATAATTTAATGAATCTAGGATTTGCTAAGTCAAAACCTTAAAATAGGTTTATTTACTTAATATTAATTAATTAATTATTATGATTTTTAAGTAGGTATGATCTGTAAATTGTATAAACAAAACAACATTTCATAATGTCTGACAAACATCAAGATTGAATTATTTTTTTCATGGTTTTCTTGATCATGTTATTAGGCAAGCAGCTGTTAAGATACATAATTTGTTTCTGTGTATTAATTTACGAAAACCAATTTATGCAAAATGCTGGAGTTAAGAATATTTTATAACGTCTGACTAGACAGCATGTCACATGATTATCATAACATAACACATATTTTGACGAGGACTACATACATAATATAATAACTATTACTACTCGAAATATATGAATAGCATAATTTTGAAAACGCTTCCATTCACATTTAATAAGCTAGAAAAATTGCAAGTAAGTACCTGATATACACTGTTAAAACAATATTTTTGTAGATTTATTAAATTGTTCTATTAGATTCAAAACTTATGCACGCGTATTTTGTAGTATTTTAGCTACTGAATGTTATAAAAACTTGAATAAATATATTTATATAGAAACTTATCATGCGTGTGTGAACTGAGGGCCCAATTTCAGTTCAGTGATAGAGTGTTATGAGTAGGGTTACGTCCGGATGGGATTTCATTTGTTCGCTGGCGGGGTAATATCAAGTCCTCAGCCGAAGCCGTGCAACGCGATTAAAATTTAAAAAATATCGTTGACATGTCCGTGTTTTGGACCCCAAAATTAGAGGTTTTCACGCGTTTTCTCCTGTTTGCAAAATTTTTGACATGGCAACCCTATAGTTATGAGGCAATGAAACATCTCTAATAAATGACAAAATTACGGTCCCTCAAAGAGCACACTTTATTCAAAGCATTATTCATTTTAAATACAATTTACAGCACTTATTAAAATCATCAGATTTATTCAACCTTTATACAAATAGTCTGTGCCAATAGACTAAAGCATTTTGTACTTTATCCATTACTATGATAAATAAAATTTTCTTTTTCTAGGTCCTAATCTCTTTCAGAAATCCCAAATATTATTTCATTTTATCATCAAAATATAGTACCTATTTATGTATTTCACCAGGGATATACTAGTTTTTATATAAATGTCGGTCTTTTTTGTTTGTTTATAAGAATTGCTAGTTTCTATTGGTGTGGACATAAATTATATTGTTGATAGTTGATTTGCCCCTTTTTAGGGCTCATTGTGATCAAACCCCGTAGTAGTTTCACTGGTTGGGACAAAGTAAACCTTATTTGTGCGTCTATAAGGTTTATTATGGCAAAACACAGAACAGAGTTATTTTTACAGTCCATAATTCTTAACACTAGGGGATAATTCTGAATAGCAATCCTAATCCTTACAAGTGTGTCTAGATTAATGTTGCTTGTGTTGCAGATAATTTATTAGATTAATACAGTTACAGCTAAGTGCCCATTCGGAAGCCTTATTTCTGTGATAAACTTAATTATTAATTGTATAGAAGCATAAAATATGTTGTTGATCGCCTATGACTGTGACTAATAGGTAAAAATAATGTGTCAAGTAAAAAGTTAATATTTGAAAGGTTTATCCAAAATGCGGCATACGTTAGAAATTAATGATTTAATTAAGATAATGAGTATTACTGTTATCTTGTATTTTTATAAGTTTCGATAATGATTAATGATGTGAATTATGGGTTCAGATTTTTTTATTTAAATTGTGAACAGTAAATTGCATGTTTAAAACTTCTTAGGGCTCCAAACAAAACAAAACGGAGCGCATTTCTATTGCTTTTGCTGCGCCTGCGCTGAATCATTATTTATAACATGAAAGACGTAAATGCGTCACAGATTATCGTACGTATCAAATGTACCTAAAAAAATATTTGTCGCTGTTTCAAATTCTTTAAAAATACAGAAAAACACTCGTAATTATATTATTTTACTTGTGAAAATGTCTCGTTGATAAGTTATCAGCGTTAGCCGTCTATTTTACTGAACTTGGAGATTGAAATGTATGAAAGTGTGCCTACTTATCTGTAGGTAGGTCATATTAGCCAATTAGTTTAACTTAATAATAACATTATGATCACATCCGCTAAATATTTTCGGCTTCTTATCCGAAGAGTGCTATTTTTACATTACTGGTTACCAAGATACCGTTTGTAAATATAATAAATTAAATATTTATTAATAAAAAGTTATTACTTAAAAAAGTTTTTTATCTATTCTTAGATCCAAGATCTAACGTAATTTACATATTTCTAGTGCGAACCGGAACCATACTACGTATAAAAAAGAAATACACTTTTACACGTGTCTGCGGATCAAATTAATGGGCCTAATAAAATCGCCGCTAGAGGCACTGCTGTAGCGTGGTGTAGCGAAATGTCAAATATCACTGGATTTCAAGGCTTTTTTTTCTTGTTAATGTTGTGTGAATATTTTACAGGTCAATGAATGTCAGTATTTATCTAAATGTCATTTCAACGGAGCTAAAATACCTTAGTGAAAAAAATAAGCTGACTGAAAAAACATGGCAGAGCTAATTCGGAGATGGTTCATTTTTATTAAAATAGGAACGGACCTCAAAATAATCAGCCCAATAAATATGATTTGAGATTTGATGAACTAGGTTTACACGCGTATGAAAAGTAAAATCTCAAGATCTTAAACTCGCCAGTGGCGCCAACTGGTGAGCGCCAATTTTAACTGCTTTCTGAATATGTTATGTTTTATATTATTTTAAACATTAGCGTTATATTTAAAAATATTAAAAAAACTCATATTACTTAATTTCAAAAAAAAGTACAATTTATATGATGCGGACTAATACCTTACCATTCTTAACGTCTTGATTGTCTACTGTAATTACAAAAACTCACAATTTAAGTATTTGGGCCTATGTAAAAAATACATTGTGTACCGCGCCAGCTTTGTTGACTAGCTTGACTAAACACAATCATGACCGTGGCAACCTTCAGTATGTACAAGAAAATGAGGAAAAGCCGTCTTGTCGTAATGTTGATAAGACTCTCTATCAACTCTACAATGCTACTTAATATTAGCATTTTCAAGCCTATACAGGGTGAATTTGCAATCAGTGTCTAAATTTTTAGGAGCGACTCAAAATCAGTAACTTAATCGAAACTTAAGATTAGATTTTAATTCTTTTTTTTCCAAAAATACCACGATTACTTACGTAAGTAATTACGATAAAGTAATATTGTTAAATTGTTCTATAGAGCTTATTAAAATTTGGATACTCATTACAAAATCACCCATGCATGGACACTCAGGTTGTGACTCAGGCCACGTGTCCGGGAAGAAATTGTCGTTCTGTATCTTAGATTAATAAAGCTTCTGTATCGAGGAAATCAATATAAATCACTTAACACAAATATTTTTTATTTATTTTTATGTAGGCATCGAATGAGATTAAAATAAGTTATCATCATCGATTTTTATCAGACTCATATCTTCAAAAAGTATCCACTTTTAAAAATCTTATGTCGTAAAAAGCTATTAAATGTTCTTACTTAATTAATTGAAGAACGCAAATTGTTTCGAGTCTTACTATAATCATAATTATTAAACATATCTCAAATGCTACCATTAATATTATTAGTTTTATATCAGTCGTTCTTCGGCCTGGGTGAAAGTTAACGATTCTCGGCTTAGTTCAAAGTGAAAGTTTAATTTTTTGAACCTAAGACATCTTTATCGATTTTTTAAAAGATGCACGTGACGTATGTAACATTTATTAAAGTTACAATAGTAAACTTCTAAAACACATCAAAATCCATGGATACATCTTATCTCGCCGCGATGAATTGCCCGATATAAATACATAATCAAATGATTTGTCAGTTATATTGTTGTAAGCCGTAATAAAACCTAGTCAGTGGCTCATTTCGTTGGTCGGCTCCTTTAACAACATAGCAATACGACCTTTAGTTTACGCTGCGCGTGCGCGCCAGTCCGTGTTCCTCCTTGCTCGTTAACTGACGTGTTACCACAACGATGAGGTGAGAAACAAAACATTTACGATGTTGTGTAAAATATTACCCACTATTTAACGTGTAAATTGTAAACGAAAAGTCTCAAGCAATGTCACGATTCTCGAAGAAAGTTAAACAAATTAATTTAAAAAAAATATGTGTTGTGTTCTTCTCATGTAGGGGTTGCAAGTCCCGGTACTAAGGAGTGTTACTGAATTACCGGTACCAGGTCTAAGCCAGTACCGGGAAAACCGGGAAATTCGGGAGTTTCGGTACCCACGTGAATGGTTATTAAAACAAATTAATTAATTTCTACGTAATTTTAATAAAAATGTGAATAGGTTTACAAAAATATTAAACTTTTTCTGTTCAGTTCAATTGGTCTGTTACCTTAACCCATATATGCCCAGAGGCACGAAAACGACCCAATGGTACATGTTCTCTTGCGATGCCAATTACAAAAAAACTGTACGTTTGTTTTCTGTTTTAGCGCTATAAATATAATCTTGAAAGAACTTCCTAATCAAATATAACAGTTACTAAGTTCGTACGCCGCCACTTTTTTTAGAATTTGAAATTGAATTTCACTGTTTTTTTTGTTGTTGAAATTAGTGCACCCAGTCTTACAAAAATGTAAATATTCTTTTATGTATTCTGTTTTAAACGATTATTGCGATTGAAATATTGAAATGAATATATTTCCAAGGTAAATAACTAAGAAGTGTTATGAAAATATAAATATGTGCTTTGTTATTTTTTGCAAAAGTTCTGTTGGTCGAAAACGACCGCATGGGCATATATGAGTCCAGAATGTAGATTTTCATAGTATCAAGGATTTCAAATAAAAGTCGTGTTTATTATATAATTAGTTTATAATTTCATCAAATTATAGCAAACAGTGTAAAATAATGTTATTTGGTTAATTTAGGACCTTGAATAATTACACAGTTAGTACAATTTAGGCACGAAAATCTGCAAAACACTTGTTTGTTTTTGCATAAAGCACAGTTCCTACGATTCTGACTGGTGAGGATCAAATGCTCAACACCATACAGCCTTTTAGAGGTATATTAGAGGGCACTGGGCGTGTTGAAAGTCCAGGCTGAGTTCGAGGAGATCCATTTGTAAGAAGTGAATTTCTAGTAATTTACCTCCGAAACTTCAAAGTGTCTACAGATGCTCCAAGGGATCTCGCTATTATGGCAAAGTTATTGATGGGAAGGAAAAAAATGGTTCTAATGTTTTTGACATGGTTGATTGATGTCACCGTCAATAATAACTCTGGAGTTTCGAAGGTCAATTGCTAGAAATTTGCTTCCAAAATATATATCTCCTTGAACTCAGTCTACCTTCAACACGCCCAGTGCCGTCTAATATACCACTAAGTGTAAGACGACAGCACCATATTATGGTGCTGAGCATTTGATTGATCCTCACCGGTCAGATTCGTAGAAATTGAGCAGTATGCAAACACATAACTGTGAAGAAATGCTGCAAGTGTAGTGTAAATCTCCATGACAAATGTTTTGCGGCCTAAATTGTACTAACTGTATTATTATTCAAGTTCCTAAATAATCCAAATATGATTATTATACACTATTGGCTATATTCTGTTCAAATTTGTAAAGTAATTCTATAATAAATACGACTATTCTTTGAAAATACTTTATACTATGAACACGTACATTCTAGTCTCATATATGCCCAGGCGGTCGTTTTCGACCGACTGAAAAAAAAATAGTTCCAAATCCTGAAATCCAAAAACTCATCTGGGTTCATGATTATGGGCCTATATAGAGTAAATATGCCAATATACATAAAAATCTGAGACCTAAATAGTTCTGGGCATATATGGGTTAATAATAAATCAGTCAAAACAGTTACACAACACGCCAAATTAGTTATAAATGCCCATTTAAAAATCATAACCGCCATATTCATAAAAAGCAACAATCGTTTAATCAACCTATTTTAGTTAAAATATTATCATGTTTTCTCACTTTCTATCAATGTCAAATACTGGCAGCGACAAGAGTTAGGGACAAAACATAAATTAACTAAATTAGGTTTATAAAAAAACACGCTTTTATAAGAAATAATAAGTAGTAGGTACTTAAGTACAATCAGATAAATGAATTAGGGACATTATTAATATTATTTCATTTGTTGATAGTGTGTACGTAAAAAGATGATGGCATCTAGTCAAAAAATTGTTGAATTTTTATTATTCAAAAATAAATTATTGATGTCCCGAAAGTTCCGAAAGTCTCGGGAATTGCATCGTCAGTACCGGAACTAGATAAAGGATTAGATTATCGGGAATTCCCGGGAAAAATGAGTACCGGGATTTCCCGGGAGCAAACCCTATTCTCATGATGCATCGGCTGAGGTATAAAACTTTTTTTAACATTATTGTGAACGTGCACCAACGGCGATACATTTCTGTAAGTTGTCGTATTTTCAAACATTAGGATATATTTATGATTTATCATCAGTACTAATTACTAGAAGTTAACAAGCTCTAGTTTTTAATTTGCGACCAAATAGGTACCTACATTAAAAAAAACAGTGCATTCCTAAAAATGATTATACAAGATGTTTTTATTAACTATCAATAGGTAACTAGAAGTTAACAACCTCGAGTTTTTAATTTGCAACCCAAATACTATACCTACATTTAAAAAAATAAATAACATTACATTCCAAAAAATGTATAAACAGGATGTTTTTATTAACCATCCCACACTTATTGAAGGATACCTACTGTGACGCCGTTTCACACTTTTAATAATATATTTTCGAAGAAAACTGTGCCTGTGTCCGAAAACTAACTTAAAACTATTTATGCTATTTTTATGTTTAATAATAACAACAAATTAGATAAATTATACAGGTGTTTTTTCCACCGCGGCATTCTTAAAGAATTTAATTTTAAGTGCAAAAATACTCGAAGTTCTATTCAAATATTGCTCTTTCAGTCACTTATTTCACAGACTTTATACCACATCTGATTCACTCAGGTTTCAATTTAAAAAACACTGTAGGCGGAGGTACCTACTTGTCATTGTTATAGCGTTAGCCTGACCGACTTCTTGTTCGTTAGCCATATAAGTGGAACAATTCAACATGCTACTTTGTGCAAATGTCCAATAAACAAATAAAAACTTATTCATATCTCCCGCGTCCGCATTGCAGAGAGAGCTATCCAAAGAGTACCTATAGGAAGCTATGTCAATTTAAACGCCTAGCGCATTAAAGTCTGATATTGGGTTGTAAAAACCCGTTACATTAAATGAAATAATGTTAAGACTGTCAAACAGGCTAATCCTGTAAATAAATAGTGAGCAATACGAAGTGTAGCTTTACTCGTAACACCGGTTTTCCCAAAATTAACAAAATAATAAATAAACTTACTTTATCATTGAAAGGAAATACCTGAAGGTGTTCAATTTGTTGCAAATTTACTCATAAGTATCTATAAAAAAGCTGAATAGTTTGTTGGGTTGTTCTCAGGAACTACTGGTCCGATTTAAATTTGATGTTGGATAGCCCTTTTATCGAGGAA